CCCATTGTCAGGCCGGCCCCCAGAAACAAACATTTGAACTATTTTGTTGTTTGCTCTTTAGGTAACTTTATATGCTTTTACCTACACTCCTTGATTGATTAAACACTATTTCCTTCCTTTTATAAAAGATGAAGATTTAATTCAGTTACTTCCCCTTCCCTCCCCCAAATTCCTACCAATATTTGATAGTTAATTGTAATTTTACGTTTTTCTCTTGGTGTGTGTGTGTGTGTATTTATTGATGTAACATTGGTTTATAACATTACATAAATTTCATGTGTGCAGCATTATAATTTGTCGACTTTATGCACAACAAAGTGCTTAACACCGAAAGTCTGGTTTCTATCCATCACCATACACTTGATCCTCTTTATCCATTTTGTCTCCCCACCACCGCTTACCTCTGGTAACCACCAGTCTGTTCTCTGTATCTATGTGTGTGTGCTTTTTGTTTTGTTTTGTTTGTTATTTTTAAAATATTCCACATGTGAGTGGAATCATACAGTATTTGTCTTTCTCTGACTGACCTGTTCACTTGGCATAATACCCTCACGTTCCATCCATGTTGTACCAGATGGCAAAATTTAATCTTTTTTTATGTCTTGGTTCTTATATTAATCAGCTTTTACTGCATAGCAGTCACAATCTTCTGTGTACAAGAGAGTGGATTGTGACAGATTAGGTAACTTTCAGCAGATGTTTACTCCTTGGTCTTGCGACTTGCTTTGGCCAGAAGAACTTGGGCAGAAGTGACAGTATACCAGTTCTGAGCCTAGGCCTTAAGAGGTATTAAATGTTTCTACTTGGCACTCTGGGAGTTTCCAATCTTTGCATAATAAAACAGGTCCCAGGCATCTGCTGGCCACTGTAGAGCCCCAGATGGAGAAACATAGTAAAGATGTCAACTTGATCTACAGCCTGAAACAGAGATGCCCCAATTGACCTAAAGAACTTATTTCTAAGTGAGAAATATATGCTTATTTTTCGTATGTTACTGAGATTTTTGTGTTTGCTTGTTTTGCAGGAAAAGGTTGATCAATTTAAAAATGGGTACCTAGGAGTGGGGTGCTGCTATAATGAAAACTAAAAATGCATGCCCATTGGCTTTGGAACTGGGTGGTGGTTAGCAAGGAAACTATTATAGGAGGCTGGAGAAATGGCTGTGTTATGTAGTAGAAAAATGTTTGATAAAACTTGTCTGTGGTAACATGGAAGACAGTTTAATTAAGTTGCAGTATTTGGCAAGGAACTTTCAAGATGAAAGCATGAGCTAGTTGCTGTTAGCTGCATAGGATAAGGTACTACAAGCATAATTCAATCTACCACATCTGATCTCTTGGTGATAATCATTCATGTCCCTTTTGTTCCAATGACATAGTTCTTCATCTTCATATGTATGTGTGATGGAACATGCCAGCTGTCAGGCTTTCCTTTAGCGTGGGTTGATAGCCGACTATCAGGCTGCTGGTCTTCCAAATGCCACAAAGAGGAAGGCCTGGCTCTGGGTCACTAAAACCATAGCTTAAAGTTAATTTTTCTGGTGATGTTTTCCCCTCCCTCTCTTTCTTATTTCCTTTTTAAAAAGGGGCTATAATTAATAAGGATGCTATTTGCTGAAACCAGTTAAACCTGAAAATTTCAATGGCTAAACAAAATAGCATTTTTTTTTTTTACTTCTTTATTAGTCCAATGAAGGTCTTCCTCTCAGCAGGCAACTTTCCTTTGTGGGATTTAGTGCACTGAATTTCTTCTGTCTTGTGATTCTGCCATCCTTAAAATTCCTTGTGATTCTCTGTCTCCTCCTAGCGGAAGGGGAAGAGAGCAGAGAAGGCACTTCTTAATTGCCTTGGCAGGGAAATGACACATTACTTTTATTTACATTCCATTGGCTAAAACTAGTCATATGGTCGTGCCTAGATACAAGAGGGGTCTAAGAAATGATGTTTTTGGCTAAGTAGTTATTTCTTAGGGACAGCTCTATGTTATAGGAGGAAGTGTATGAATTTTGGTCGACATTTGGCCATTTTTGCCACAAAGGAGAGTTACCCTCTTGTTGTTTTTGGCTGGGGGTAAATATTAGGCTCCTTGTGTGCTTTGTGAGCAGAGGTGGAAGAGGAAGGTAGACATGGAATATTTGACTTGGTACAGTTTTTCTATATTCAGATCTTCAGTTCATCTCTGTCCTTAGCTACTTCCTTTCTTAATGCCCCTTTAAGACAGTTCCTCAGGTATCCCTGAGCCTAGAATCCCTCTAGGGTTCCAGTGGGCAGATCAGCTTTCATCTCAATTGCACCTTCCTCCTAGTGTAGTCTGTTCTGTTTAAGTTGTCAATACACTTCTATTTTTGTCTTTCAGAAATTTGTTGAAATCTCTTGCTGGCCAATGATCAGCTCTTTCCAAGCTGAGTTTTCTTCACTGTTATACAGGCCTAAGTATCTGTACATTGTTTTTTGTTTAAGTTTTAGGAGTCAGTTGAAATAAATATAGAATATCTTCAATTAGTACCTCTAACAGAATTTCAATTATTTTTTAATACCTGCTGCTTAATGAAGATGCTTTACTGTCTACCATGTGCCGAGCACTTTCTCCAGGCTCTGGAGGACATGTAAAAAGGTATAATATATAATCCCTGTAAGTGTAGAGTGCACACTCACTCTGTCCCAACTTTGATTCTACTACCGGCTTACTTTTTCAGACAACTGATTCTATCATGGTACTTCTTTAGAAATGTTTGGTGCTTTTTCCTTGCTCATCTTTTCCTCTGTAAACCCTCCCTGGTTTTCAATTCCCTCTCTAACAGTACATGCCCCTCAAGTGAGAACTATTCAGTTCATTGTGTCATCAACATGCCATGTCATTTCTCACCTCTGTACCTTTGTACATGTAGTCTCTACTTTCTGGAGTTACTGTCCCTTTCGTATCTGAGTCCTGCTTAGATACAAATGCTGAATTCAAATTTCACTTTTTTTTCTAAATAAATATTCATTGATTGAAGCTTTAAGTCGTTTAGACCAGTGCTATTCAAAGTGCAGTCTGTTCTTTTCCCATTTAGGTTATTACCTAAATTGAGCAGAATAATGGAATCACTTTGCCATACACCTGAAACTAACACAACACTGTTAATCAACTATGCTCCAATATAAAATAAAAATTTAAAAACAAAAAAAAAAACCAAAGTGCAGTCTGCAGACTGATACTGGAGCATGAACTGTTACCACTATGCTGGAATATAAGTACGGAAATTGAGAATAAGCTTTAGAAACTTTTATAGAAATTTGACAGAGAAATTATATGTCTGTCAAATTTATAAAAAAATTTGGTTTCTATTTTACATGTTTAAAAAAATTCTGGTAATTCATTTAAATTTCATTTTATAAAGGGCTCTGTCCACAAAGGATTAGAAAATTAAAAAAAAAAGACATCTCACCACAGTTCAAGAAGCACTTGTTTGTTTGTTTATTTATTTATTTAAGCCGTACCTTGTGGCTTGCGGGATCTTAGTTCCCCAACCAGGGATTGAACCCAGGCCACAGCAGTGAGAGTGCTGAGTCCTAACCATTGGACAACCAGGGAATTTCCAAGAAGCACTAATTTAGACTACAAAGCATATGAGTATTTAGCAGTGAAGAGATCAGTATGTTTTGGACCAGTAGAAGAGGATTTCACAAAGGAGATGAGAGCTCTTCTTGAAGGGTGCATAGGATTTGGATGGTTGGAAAGCACTGTGGCATTTCCAGTAGGGATAACAGGGTTTTGGATTACAAATGGAGGAGAGTTGTGCTAATATGATCTGGAGAGAAAAGAATCCTAGCAGAGTTAAAAATTAAGTCCACAGGGCTTTCCTGGTGGCGCAGTGGTTAAGAATCCGCCTGCCAATGCAGGGGACACGGCTTCGAGCCCTGGTCCGGGAAGATCCCACATGCCGCGGAGCAACTAAGCCCGTGCGCCACAACTACTGAGCCTGTGCTCTAGAGCCCGTGAGCCACAACTACTGAAGCCCATGCGCTTAGGGCCTGTGCTCCGCAACGAGAGAAGCCACCGCAGTGAGAAGCCCGTGCACTGCAACGAAGGGTAGCCCCCACTCGCCGCAACTAGAAAAAAGCCCTCGCGCAGCAATGAAGACCCAATGCAGCCAAAAATAAATAAATAAATAAAATTAAAAAAAAAAATTAAGTCCACAGAGAGCTGACCAGTTACCGGAGCATTTATTTGGTAACTGCTTGAGCTACTGCATGATGAAGACCTTTCATTCCCATATGTCTGTTGCTGATTTTCCATGGGACTAGTAGTAGTGAGTACATTTTACATTTTGCCTGTTTGAAACATTTCTTTTTAATGTAGCCTTTATGGTTGGCTTATTGATACTTTAGTTGTTGTTGAATTTATTGTAGATTTAATATGAATAAGTAAATAAGTAAAATATAAACTAAAAGAATAATTGATAATTGATAAAAATTATTTAAATTTTAAATTATTTTTAAAGCCTAAACAATATAAATTTATTTTCTCACAGTTCTGGAAGCTAGAAGTCTGAGATAAAGGTGTCTGCAGACTTGATTCCTTCTGAAGCATCTCTCCTTGGATTGTAGATGTCCTTCTTCTCACTCCTTCTTCACATGGTCTTTCCTCTCTGTGGCTGTGTCCTGATTGCCTCTTTTTATAGGGACATCAGTCATACTGGATTGGGACTACCTTAATGACCTCATTTAACCATAATCACCTGTATAATGTCTCCTGTCTTCAAATATATATAGTCACATTCTGAGGTACTGGGGGTTAGAATTTCAGTATATGAAATTTGGGGGAAACAGTTCTGCCCATGAAAAGGGGGAATTTGAGGCTAGTTTTTCTTATAGTTTTAATCACTCAGAATCCTAAGATGGTGGGTTTGGAACTCACAGCTTCGGTAGGGGAATTTGTACTTATTCTTTTGGTAGAAATTGGGGCATCTGAAGAGAAGCTTTAGTATCTTACTTGACTCTGGTCTCATTATATTTCAGGACTACCATGAAGATGCATTGAAAATTCTGCTACACTGGAGGAGTGAAGTATCCCATTCAGTTGGTGATCTTCCTGTCATGGAAGTTGCTTGCCAGCTCTAATTTTGAGTGAACACAGTAAACACAATGGTGAAAATATCAATTAAAAAAATCTACTCTCCATACTATGTATGTGTGTTTCCCTATGTATTCTGAACTCGCTCATAGCTACCTACACATAGTTGTCTGTAGCTTTGGTTTTGCCAAACTATTAAAATCATTTATTTTTTCTACTGTTCTACTTTGACTTTGCCTTCAGCGCTTGCTCCTCAAGATTGAGATATGAAAGGATCCTTCTGTCTTTTACCACACAATTCCTTTGTCAGGAATTTCATGATTTCCTCCAAGTTTGCAGTTAGGTGTTTGACTTTATTCTCTAATTTTAACACTGACTGTTTTTCACTTTATATTTTCCTACTTTTGTAATTTGGGTTGGTTCTTTTAAAATATTTACTTATTATTATTTTGTTGAAGTATAGTTGAATACAATATTATCTTAGTTTTTAGTGTAAACATAGTGATTTGACATTTATATACATTATGAATTGATCACCACTATAAGTTTATTAACCAAATGTCACCATACAAATGTATTACAATATTATTGACTATATTCCCTGTGCTGAACATTACGTCTTGGTTGCTCATTTATTTTATAACTGGAGGTCTGTACCTCTTAATCCCCTTCACCTATTTTACCTAACCCGCACCTACTTCCCCTCTGGTGTCCTCCAGTTTGTTTTCTGTATCTATGCCTCTGTTTCTGTTTTGTTTTGTTCATTTGGTTTGTTTTTAGATTCCATATATAAGTGAAATCATGTGGTATTTGTGTTTCTCTGACTTATTTCACTTAGCATAATACTCTGTAGGTCCATCCATGTTATGGGGGCTTGTCTTCCCAGTTCTGGTCCCCCAGGCTGGGGAGCCTGGCATGGGACTCAGACCCCTTACTCCTCAGGGGGAATGCCTGCAGTTGTGATATCCCTCCTAGTTGTGGGTTGCTGCACTGGGGTGTGGGTTCTCTGGCCCTGCTACCCATCTTGATGTGGCCTTTTCTTTATATCCTTAGTTGTAGAAAATCTGTTCTGCTAGTCTTTAGACATTTTCAGAGATAGTTGTTCTATGTGTAGTTCTATGTGTGTCCATGGGAGGAGGTGAGCTTGGGATCTTCCTATTCTGTCTGCCATCTTGATCTAGATCCAATCTGATAAAAATTATTTTAAATTAAAAAAACTTGTTTTTATCTTGTTCTCTATTTTCCTTTGTCAGTTTTATCTTAGATTAAAGCTTTTCTTCCTTCTGAATTACAGTCATTAATTTAGAGATCTGGGATTAAAAAGAATATTGAGGTAAACATTGCTCCTGAAGAATTAACATTTAGCTTATAAAACAAAATATGAGCTGAACTAGTTTTTTTTATTATAGTAAAATATACATAACATAAAATTTACCATTTTAAGCATACAGTTCAGTGGCGTTAAATATATTCTCATTATTGTGCGACTGTTAACCACCATCCATCTCCAGAACTTTTTCATTTTTTCAAACTAAAATTTTATACCCATTAAAAAATAACTCCTCATTTCCCATCTCTGCCCTGAACTAATTATTTTAAATTTACCTATTTTTGTGTCTTCTTACTTGTTCTGTTTGCTATCATTATAAATGAATACATATTGAATACTCCTTATATATGTGGAACTGGGCCAGATGTTGACCAGGGTTGAGTTACATTTAAAAAGAAGGCTGAGCAATTTGCCATTAGGTGGTATCCTGGGTGACAGAGTCTTGTTGTTTCATTTTCTTTATCTTACATGCACGCTCCAATCCATTAAATGTGCAAAAGTACACAAGCTGCTTTTTGTTTCAGAGATTACCAGGAAAATGCCTAATTTCACCAGTCTGACAATTCAAAGTCCAGATTGAGCTGAATTATTGCTTTGATTTTATCAGATATTTTGAGTACCTAAATGAACATATTTGCAAAATTACTAAATATAAAAGTGGATGGTAGCTTGGTTATTTTTTTAAAGCCTGGAGAAATTTTTAATAGCTATATATATATATATCTTTTGAGGTGTCATTGTTTTATTTCTTCCTCTCTAACTTCTTTTTCTTTGTTATGTTCAGTTGCACATCTTCCTTCCCCTGCCCTGTAGGTTATCTATTTCTCATGGTTTTTGCCTTCAGTTTTTTGCTTCGAAATCTCACCTTTGTCAGTTCGGTTATCTCTCTGTGAGAAAATAACTCCTAAGTCTATATAGTTGACACTTGAACAATATGTGTTCAAACTGTGTGGGTCCACTTATATGTGGGTTTTTAAATAGTACTACACAGTTTGTGGCTGGTTGAATCCACAGGTGCAAAACCGTGGATACAGAGGGCTGACTATAAAGTTATACATGAGTTTTTGACTGGGTGGAGGATTGGCACCTCTAACCCCGTGTTGTCCAAGGGTCAACTATATTCTTAACCTTGAGTCATAGTTCTCAGTCTAGAACTGTCCTGAAATTTTCTCTTATGTGATCTGGTGTTACCTCAAACAAACATGTCTAATGTTGGACTTAACATTTTTTCATCCACTTTAAACCTCCTCCTTTTTTCTCTCTTTTTTTTAATAGCACTACTATTTTTGTCATTACCTAAGCTTGACGTTTAGCAGTGGTTTGCTCTTTCTCTCCGAATTCAGCTAGTCACTAGATCCTACCAACTATTTTTCTCTGTTATTATGATCATTGTCACATATGACCCTTTGCATTCTTATTGCATTCTATCCAGTATAGGGCCTGATCAGCTGATGCCTAGCTTACTGCAGTAGTCCTGTGCCAATAGAGTTTTTCTCTTGAGTCCCTTATACCACTTTTTTTTTGTAACTCTCATGTGAAAGTTGTGAATATCTATTTTGGATTATAGTTAACTATGTCTCACCATTGTCTTTTTCATCTTTGTACTCCCCAGAAGCCTTACATCATAGTTGGTACTCAATAAATGTTTTTGAGAATATGGTATTCTAGTTATAATTTCTTCTTCTAATGTATTGCCATGTTCTTTCATTCATTTAACAAATATTTATTGAGTGCTTATTTTGTGCCAAGGACTTTTAGCTGCTAAGGGTATAGTAATCATATAGTAATCAACAATCAAACAAAAACTTATGACTGGTAGCTTATATTCTAGTGAGGTAGAACAATGACAAAATAGGAAAATACATAATGTCTTAGATGGTGATAACTGAAAAGGAGAAAAAGATAAATGAAGGGGGGAGATAGGGAGTATCGAGGGTGAAAGATTGATATTTTGGATAAGGTGGCCAGGAAGACCCTTTTGCAAAGGTGGCACTTGACTAAAGGAAGTGAGTGGGGAAGGCAGCAAATATCTGGGGAAAAGAAATAAGGTTCCAGGCAAAGGGAGCGGCAAGTGCAAAGGACCTCGAGTGCAAGCGTACCTGGCATGTTTGAGTATTGGAGAGCAATAGAGTGAGCTGAAAGATGGGTAGTAGGAAGCAAGGGTGTGTATTAGGAGGAGAGGTATAGAGTGGGAAAATACAGATTGAGTAGTGCCTTGTAGGACACGATGAGTGTGGTTTTTTTCTCTGAATGAAATGTTTAGCCTTGGGAGGATTTTGAACTTACAAGTGACATGATCCTTCTTGTTAATGGAATCATTATGGTAACTATAATTGAGAAGAGAGAGGAAGCAGGAAGATCAGTTACGAGCTTTGACACAAATCTTGGTCAGAGATAATAGTGGCTCAGACCTCAGTGATAGCAGTGGGAATAGTGAGAGGTATTCTGGTTTGAGATGTAGTTGAAGTAGAGCCAACAGAATTTTCTGATGGGTTGGATGTGAAGCATGAGGGGAAATGAAGAGTCATGGATTATGTGAAGGTCTTTGGCCTGAACAGCTGAAGAATGGGTTTGCCAACTGAGATAGAGGTGCCTCTGAGAGGAGCAGGTTTGGTAGTGGGTTTGTTAGGAGTTAAGCTTTGGACATGCTAAGTTTGTGATTCCTGCTTGACATCCAAGGAGAGCAAGATTGTCTAGGTTCATGTGGGTATATTAGACTGAAGTTCAGGAACGAGATCTGGGAGTCATCAGTATTGAGATAGTGTCTAAAACTATGAGACTGAGTCATCGGGAGAATGAATGTAGAAAGAAAAGATTAAACTTTTTGAAACACCTTACCCCATATCTCTGCTTAGTACATACCTTGAAAGGCTCCAGGTTCTCCATGGCCTTTCACAGTGTAGTCTTGTACAAATCTCTTATGTCAGTCACGTTGGATACTTATGTTTCCTAAGTTCTCCTTTTGCATTGCTGCCTTCCTATTTTTGCTCATCCTTTTCCTTTTACTTAGAATGCTTTCTTCTTTCTACCCAACTGAAATCTAGTTTTTTCCAAGCATCTTTATCTTTTTTTTTTTTTTTGGTACGCGGGCCTCTCACTGTTGTGGCCTCTCCCGTTACGGAGCACAGGCTCCAGACGCACAGGCTCAGCGGCCATGGCTCACGGGCCCAGCCGCTCCGCGGCATGTGGGATCTTCCCGGACCGGGGCACGAACCCGCATCCCCTGCATCGGCAGGCAGACTCTCAACCACTGCGCCACCAGGGAAGCCCCAAGCATCTTTATCTTATGACCACTGAATGATCTATTTCTTTTTCAAACACCACTTTTTTCATTTTGTGAAAAGTCTGCGTCTTTATTCCACTCCCCCCTTATCTTGTCTGTATTGTGAAGTTCAGCATATTTTTATATGTGTCCTTTTTTCCCCTAATGATGTAATGAAATCTGTGGCAGGGACCATGATTTTTAATGTCTTCTGCAGTGATCAGAACCCCAGTTCTACTCCTCAGGGTATATTTGTGGAGAAACAGTCTTTACAAACACTGGAAACCTGGAGGAAGCAAGGCTGTTCAGGAACATCTGGACATTGATTCTGCTTTCTCCCATTAGATAAAAAGTTGTGGCCTTATTAGCAATGAGTTTGGCTCAAGAACCAGCAGGAGCCCAGATGTTTATAATTTTTTCCCGTTAAAGGGCATAAATTCTTAGAGCTTGTTTTTACGAAAATGGTAATGTAAGCCCTAAGCATAAAAGAGTAAGTGGAACCATAAGAATTGATCTTGCCA